CATGACCTGAGCTGAAGTTGGACACTTAACCGACTGAGCCACTCAGGTGCCCCTCAATTTTTTTAAAAATGTTTATATAGTTTTGAGAGAGAGAGAGATTGAGAGAGAGACAGAATGTGAGCAGAGGAGGGGCAGAGAGAGAGGAAGACAGAATCTGAAGTAGGCTCCAGGCTCTGAGCTGTCAGCACTGAGCCTGTCTTGGGGCTCAAACCCACGAACTGGGAGATTGAGATCATTACTGAGCTTAAGTCAGACACTTAACTGACTGAGCCACCCAGGCGCCAAGATAAATAGGTATTTTGTATTTATTTCTCCATGTTTATTTATGTTCACCACGACTTCGGAAATTCCACATAAAATTACTGTATGGAATGGGAAAAATGTTTTATCCTTTTTTATGTCTTTTTTGGCATTTTAACTAGGTAAGGGGTTGTGTATGCATATTTCTAGGGTCGAAATACATTTACCTTTCTCTTACCTTACTCTTCCCAGTATTTATTTCTGAAAGCACATTGTACCAGTAATGGCGTGTTTAAAAAAAAATCCATTAATAACAACTAAGAATTCTATCTTTCATTTTTTAGGCTAGGAAAATAGTCAATAGAGGAGTTTTAATAGAACAGTGACTTTGCACTCTTCAAAAACTGGCTTTGTCTAAAAGCTCACATAACCCAAATCCAATTCAGGTTGCTTTAAAAAGTTTAATGTTCTATTTACTGTACTACACCATTTTATTTCTAATTGAAATGCTTTCAAATGGGTCAAATGGAAGTGTTAATATTAGAAGTTTTGTAAACCCACAGCTATTATCATCCTCAATGGGGAAAAACTGAGAGATTTTCCTGGATGGTCAGGAACAAGACAGGGCCGTCCACTCTCACCACTGTTGTTTAACATGGTATTGCAATTCTTAGCCCCAGCAATCAGACAACAAAAAGAAATAAGCATCCAAAATCCAAATTGGCAAGGAAGAAGTAAAACCTTCACTGTTTGTGGATGACTTGATACCCTCAATAGAAAACCTGAAAAATGCCCCCCAAAATTGCTAGAACTGATACACAAATTTAGAAAAGTAGCAGGATGCAAAATCAATGTACAGAAATATGTTGCATTTCTATACACCAATAGTGAAACAGCGGTGAAATCAAGGAATCAATCCCATTTACAATTGCACCAAAAACTATAAGATACCTATGAATAAACCTAACCAAAGATGTGAAAGACCAGTACTCTGAAAACTATAAACACTGATGAAAGAAATTGAAGAAGATGGAAAGACAGTCCATGTTCATGGATTGGAAGAACAAATATTGCTAAAATGTCTCTACTACCCAAAGCAATCTATATATTTAAGGTAATCCCTATCCAAATACCAATAGCATTTTTCACAGAAGAACAAACAAACCTAAAATTTGTATGGAACCACTAAAGACCTCAAATAGCCAAAGCAATCTTAAGAAAGAAAAGCAAAGCTGGAGGCATCACAATTCTGGACTTCAAGTTATATTACAAAGCTGTAGTAATCAAAACATTATGGTTCTGGCACAAAAATACACATGGATCAATGGGACAGAATAGAAAAGTCAGAAATGAACCCACAACTATGGTCAATTGATGTTTGACAAAGCAGGAAAGAATATACAATGGGAAAAAGACATGTGCTGGGGAAACTGGACCACTTTCTTACACTGTACACAAAAGTAAACTCAAAATGGATGACAGACCTAGGCGTGAAACCTGAAACCATAAAAATCCTAGAGGAGACCACCGGCAGTAACCTCTTTGACACTGGCTGGGTGTAGCAACTTCTTTCTAGATATATTTTCTGAGGCAAGGGAAATAAATGCAAAACTAAACTATTGGGACTTCATCAAAATACAAAGCTTCTGCACAGTGAAAGAAACAATCAACAAAAGTAAAATGTCACTTATGGAATGAGAGAAGATAGGCTCAAATGACATCCGATAAAATATTAGTATCCAAAATATATGAAGAAATTCTACAACTTAACAGCCAATAAAGGAATGATCCAATTAAAAATGGTAGAAGACATGAATAGACATTTTTCCAAAGAAGACCTCCAAATACAAAAAGATGCTCAACATCACTCATCATCAGAGAACTACAAATCAGAACCATGATAAGATATCACCTCACGTCTGTCAGAATAGCTAAAATCAACAACACAAGAAACAATAGGTGTTGGTGAGAATGAAGGAAAAGGAATTCTCATGCAGTGTTGATAGGAATGCAAATTGGTGCAGCCACTGTGGAAAACAGTATGGAGGTTCCTCAAAAAGTTAAAAATAGAACTACCATATGATCCAGCAATTGCACCCCTAGGTATTTCCCCCCAAAACACAAAAATACTAAATCAAAGGAAGCATGCACCTCGATATTTATAGCAGTGTTATAATAGCCAAGAAAATAGAAACAGCCCAAGTGTCAATAGACTGATGAATGGATAAAGAAATTATATATATATATATATATATATATATACACTACACACACACACACACACGCACGCAGGCACACACACACAGACTATACACTGTCAGTGCAGAGCCAGATGCGAGGCTTCATCTCATGAGATGTGAGGTTGTAACCTGAGCTAAAATCAAGACTTGGACACTTAAACTGACTGAACCACCCATGTGCTGCAAAGTAAAATTATATTTTAAAGTGTAATTTGTTTTATAGCCCTAATATTTCCAACATGGAAATCATGAACAAAGCCCTATTTATTCTTAGTGGCTAGAATAGTGAGGTGGTGGGAAGCATAATGCAATGCGGGCATTCAGCCATCCCTTCAGTCTTTGTATTAAAGCTTAATGACTTGCCCAGCACTGTATTAGGATCTAGATTTACAAATACAGATGTAAACCAGGCCCTGTTATTATGAGCTTTTATAATCTGAGGATGGAAATTTAGACAAATAATCATATAAATGTGTCATGATATATATACACATACATACTAAGACATATATCACCTACCTGGGGAGGTCAAGAGTGGTTTCTGTGACCAGGGAACATTAAAACTTCATTAGTGGGAGAAGTGGAAAATAGGAAGCTTTCAGGCTGCAAGTAGTTTGATATGGCAAAGAGTTTGTGCCTTTTGAGAAATGACTGAAGGTGTGAAGAATGATGAGCCTGGAAAAATTGTGATAAGTGTTTTTAAATACTGAAAGCAAGTTCACTCTTGAATATTATTATTGTTGTTTGTGTCCAAACTAAATACCATCCTGTCTTAAACTTTATTAAAACAAGCTTTTGAAAATGGGGAAAGATCATTTAAATTGCAGTATACTTTGGCTTTTGCAAGGCTAAACGAGACCAGGAAATATGGCTGTTGAAAGCTCTTTCTAGGGGGTTGGATAGACTTGGATGAGAATCCCAGTTCTGCCATTTTTCTGGCTGTGAAACCCTGCACAAATTACTAGCCCTCCTTTAGCAAGTTCTAGTTTCCTCATGTGGATGATGGGGCAAAAGGTGGTTTTTCCACAGGACTAATAACATCTCCTTCCAGTGTTCAGCACAAAATTAGTGTACAAAAATGCTGGCTATTATTATGCTGTGATGCTGTATTTCCATTGGTCCTTGATTCCAATTCACATTTTGGTACCTGTTAAAAAAAAGCAACATAAGACAAGTTTTCCATTTATAAATAAATAACTCTTCCTCAGACCACATAAAAATAAACAATTGCCATACTTGTGTGGATAAATGTGATATGCAATAAAAGATAAACAAATACTTGGTTATAAATATTACTTGTGCACTATCACATGCATTAAAAACACTTTTAGTGCATTAAATATATTTCAAAATGTGGAAAATGACTTTTATATCTGTAATGAACAAACATGTATAAATATCCAATGCATTATGAAACAAAAGGATTGTATTTGAAGAAAACATTAATGATAATGCAGATGAAATGAGTTAGGAGGTCTAATAAAATAAAAGGTCCTCAATGTAATCATTTATTATAAAATTATGAGGCTTACTTATTTTTAATATAACTTTTTCTTCAACATAGGTATTGCTTATTTTACGATTATTAAACACCCAGACATTAATGACAGTTTGAAACATATGGAAAATTACAAAGAAAATACAACCAGTAAATTTAACACCTAACAATATCCATTCTTGAGTTTTAAAATATTTTAAAATATTTATTATCCATTACTGCTGTACTGTCAGATACCAACATTATAAATACATATTTTTATGTAATTATTATATGGGTACAGATGAGCTCATTATGCTGCCATAAGAACCCTGAATCTTAGTTTTTTATCCTTTAAAATAAGGATATCCTTTAAAATAAAGGACTAGAGGATCTAAAGCAGGCTTTGCACTGACACCAGTGAGCTTGGTGCAGGAATTGAACCCATGAATCATGAGATCATGACCTCAGCTGAAGCTGGATACTCAATTGACAGAGCCATCCAGATGCCCCAGTAAAGGACTATTTCTTTATTTTTAAAAACTGTTTAGTTATTTATTTTTTAATTTTTTTCAACATTTATTCATTTTTTGAGAGACAGAGAGACACAGTGTGAGTGAGGCAAGAACAGAGAGAAAGAGGGAGACACAGAATCCAAAGCAGGCTTCAGGGTCTGAGCTGTCAGCACAGAGCCTGACTTGAGGCTCGAACTCACGAACCACGAGATTATGACCTGAGCCGAAGTTGGCTGCTTAGCCGACTGAGCCATCAAGGCACCCCTATTTATTTATTTTTGAGAGAGAGAGAGTGTGTGTGTGAGCAGGTGTAGGGGGAGAGAGAGAAGAGAGAGAGAATCTTGAACAGGCTCCCAAGCTGACAACATACAGCCTAATGCAAGGCTTGATCTCACAACTATGAGATCATGACCTGCACTGAAATCAAGAGTCAGATGCTTAACTGACTGAGTCACCAGGCACCTCAGGACTATTTCTTGCTCTTGCTATATATGAGCTTCATTACCTGTTTTCTGTGTCACCCTAAAGGTTCTTCGAATGTCATAGCAGCTGCTTAACATCTGGGAAATTGCCAGTCTCTGTAAGGGAGGGAAAGAGAGAGTGAGCATGGAAAATGGTGAACTGATCCTTAGAAGTTCCACCTAAGAATGATATGTATCACATCAACTCCTTTCAAAGCCAAAGGCAAGTCATCTAACTCAAGGGGGCCAGTAGTTGAATCCACTATTTGCCTGAAATGAGAAATAAAAAAATTTTTGTGAAGAGTTTTTACTGACTACCAAAATTGTTTCACAAGTATGTGAGAATATTAGCAATTATCTATGAAACTAAAATAGAGGCAAGAAAAGTGTAAAGTATAAAGAATGATTTGGAAATTTATTTGTAAGCATTCATGCAACCTCATACTTCTGTGAAAGCCGTCCTACCCTTTCCAAAAAAATCAATTTTGCTTGTTTGACTTTTGCCTGCTTTCTGAAATATGTCCTGACTTTCCAGTTTCTTGACAAGCCATACTCTTGATTTTTCCAAACCAAATGTAACACTGACTCTAAATCTTGGCTTTTCCAAAATTTGTTATGTAAGAATTTGTTATATGTGTTTATTCAGGTTAATTTATGATCTTAACATCCCATGTTGAAGTCAGCTTTGCAATTCTTAGATGACAAATAGAAGCTACCAAAATTAAGAGAATCTATCTTACTGATGTTTTCTTTGTTTGCTGCTCTCTCCAGTCAAGATAATACCCTTCAACAACAAAAAAAAAAAAAAAAAAAAAAAGGCAGTAAAGCAGCAAGACAGTGTTATCTATCTGATCATTGCCTCATTACTGACTTCTCAAGGTCAAGTATTTCCTTACTGCCTTGCATGTACTGCAGTAATTGACACATGTAGGAGTGGTTACTCTATTGCTATCTTGCACATCCTTATCCAACAGTGTTCTTACAGGTACTTTGGGATCCATAACTCTCTGACTACAGTTGTTCAAAGAGGCAAGTACTAGATTAAATTCAGCTGATCCTAGAACACCCTCACTCTCCAGTTATAGTAAGTGGTCTAGAGATGGAAATGTAGAGTCTTGTGCCTGGACTTATCTGAATCTACCTATTAGGGGAGCCTGGGTGGCTCCCTTGGTTAAGCATTCATTGTTGGTTTTGGCTCAGATCATGATCTCACAGTTCATGACTTTGATCTCTGCATAGGCTCTATACTGGCATGGTGGAGCCTACTTGAGATTCTCTCTCTTACCCACTCTCTCTCTGCCCCTCCCCCAGTTGCACTGTCTCTGTCTCATTCAAAAGAAATAAGTAAAATTAAAATAATTTGAATCTACCTATTAGATCTTTAAAGGTGGACCTGGAAGTGGAAAGCCCTTGACTTGTTGATGGCAAAAATTGAGCCACCTGTGTTGTTATAGTTATGTTGGAAAAAGTGATTCTGAAAAACAAAGTCAACAGAAGAAAATGAGAGTGAAAAAGAGGGTTTCTGATTGTTCTCATGTCTGTTTTTTGTGGTTTCACGTACCAATTGTTCCTGATATCTGAATTCTTGCTCCCCCTCCCTTTTGATTATGAGTCAATAAACTCATTTATTGTTGCCTCAGTGAACTGAATCTAAGTTTATTTTACTTGTAACTAAGAGAAGGCTGAGAGATACTAATGCAGGCAGACTGGATCTGAGGACCCAGAGGGGGTCCCACAGGTCCAGCCAAGAGGGTCCCTGGCTGCACACAGGATAGAAACCACACATGAGCCAGGAAGAGGTGAAAGAAGAGTTTATTGAAGATATAGAAAGAGTGCAGGTATCGACAGGAGTGTTTGTGAGACTCAGAAAGGAAAGGAGACCCTTTGCTCTGGGTCTGGGGTTTTTACTGAGGATTGTGGTCTGGTGTATATGTTGTCTCAGGCATCCAGGAGCTGGTTATTCCTTTGAGCCGGGGGGTCTTGGCATTGAGATTTCTAGCACCAGTGGTTTGGAATGTGCATATGATAGCTTTGTCAGGTCACCATCACCTGGTCCTTCCTTAGGTGTTATTTATTCTAAAGGAACTATTAGGTGCTTACAAAGAGGACATACACTATTTGCATTCTGAGATATTTGTAAAGTGGAGGTTCAGATCCCAGAAAGAACAGAAGCCAGAGAAGGAGCCAAAAGCAGATTTTTATGGAATCCTTCAGTTTCCCTATCTCCTGCCTTACGTTCTGTACAGCCTCTCATGGGGAAAGTAAACAAAAATTAATAACATAAATGTTTACTAATTTCACCCAAGGATAGCAGAAAGTGTCTGTTTTAAGCTGATTTTAGGGGCGCCTGGGTGGCTCAGTAGGCTAAGGGTCTGACTTCGGCTCAGGTCATGATCTCACAGTTCAGTGGGTTCGGGCCTCTCATCTGGCTCTGTGGTGACAGCTAGCTCAGAGCCTGGAGCCCACTTCTGATTCTGTGTTTCCCTCTCTTTCTGATCCTCCCCTGCTCACGCTGCCTCTCTCTGTCTCTCTGTCTCTGTCTCTGTCTCTCTCAGAAATAAACAAAACATTAAAAAAATAAAAAAATAAAAGGGCAACATTTGGGGCACTGAGATGTCTCAGTTGGTTGAAAGTCTAGCTCTTGATTTCAGCTCAGTTCACAGTTCGTGAGTTTGAGCCCCATGATGTCAGTGCGGAGCCTGCTTGGGATTCTCTCTGTCTCTTCTGTGCGCATGCTCTCTCTCTCAAAATAAATAAAATAAACTAAAAAAAAATGAAGGGTGACATTATTTTACTTTATCTCATAGTGAATTGGAGTTCACCATTGTCCAATCTTGTAGGGAAAAAGATACAAAAAAATTCTCGAAAAGGTTTTATAATTTACTTGAAAAAAGAGAAAAAATGATAAAGGGATATTTAGTTTCTAACTGTAATAGTGCCTTTAAAAAATGTGTAGTCTTATGTTAGACTCTATGTCCTAAGCTATTTGCAGAAACACCTATATTTTCCTCAAAATAGTAAAGGAAGAAAAAAATCAATCAGTGAATAAGGAAACACAAGTCTAAATTTCTGAAGTTTCTTTTATTTGTTAAACCTTTAAGTAATTTACATATGCAAAAATGTATTTTAAGATGTAAGTAAAAGCCATTTTGCTGTTTTTTGTTTTGTTTTGTTTTGTTTGTTTTTTGTTTTTTGTTTTTTTTGCACAGGGTTTGGGGAATGTAGCAGTGGGAAAGCCAGTCCTAAATAGTCTTGAGTTTAATTTTTTGTTAATTTGCCTTCATTAGCTCACCAGGGTAGCATTTTGTCTAGGTGGTGTTGGGGGTAGTTGATCTACATTAGCAAATTGATTATTGATGACTCTAAAGAACAGAAAAATAGACGAATTACTATTTGGGGAAATGGCAGCACAGAATACCTCTATTTGTTGATTAGTGCATCCTCTTGCATTAGGAGCAATTATTAAAGGAACAAAGTTAGTTTCAGATGATAGTACAGTAAAACCTTGGATTGTGAGTAACTTGTTCTGCGAGCGTTCTGCAAGATGAGCAAATACTTCTAATAAATTTTAACTTGTTAAGTGATGTCTTGCAACATGAAAGTACAAGACATCAAACGTCACATGGGATCCCACCTGAGCCACTATTTCTTTTTTTCTCTCTCTCCTTGTGGGATTGTGGGTGCTTGTCTCTCATGCTTAGATGCTTGGTCTCAGGCCATGGTGTTGGGCAGAAGTCAGTGATTTTTCAGAATGTTGGACTGTGCCCACAACTGGTACTAGTGTATTTTTTGTCACTTCAGAGCACTTATGGATAGTCCTTTGCTCTTCCATACAAGAGTAAGCTTAGGAGTGCTTTGCTTCCTTCAAGGTCAGGCTGTCTGCAGATACAGACCCTTTCCTCAGCTGCCTAATTGCCAGTTACATTAAATACAGTATTTGACAAGAGTTTACTAATACTGTACTGTAGTCAACATCTGTGCAAGCATATACAATGGCTCGCATGCAGAAAAAGGTTGAAAAGAAAGACTGTAAGAAAGAGATGATTACGGTGGAAGTTAAGGAAACCATCAAGAAGTATGAATGAGGTATGCGAGTGGCTGAAATTGCAAGATTTTATAAGAAGTCTACGTCTGCATCTTGTCTGCAAAGGAGGAGGAGGAGAAAAAGTCAGAGGAATCTTTCACTTTAAATGAGAATAGAAAGATATGTAAGATGTGGGAAACATTACAAAATTTTGTAGGAAAGCACTGTAGCAGTGTGAGCTTCAGCAGTGCAAGGTATGGCTCTGTTTAACGGCTATGCAATGTCACATTTTCACGAAATCCTCAAAAAGAGGCAAAAACAAGTGTCATTGGATAGGTTCCTTGTTAAAGTTGCCCTAAAAGAAAAAGATTCCATTGAGCCAATAGATAGCAGTGATTCCATTAATGATAGTGAAAGTTGTCCTACACAATAACCCTCTTTTCTTGTCTCCCTCACACGAGGCCTGAAGGTTTTCAAAGGGAAGTGGAGGTTAATTTGTCTACTTTTCTTTCTCTGTTGTATTTTATTTGTTATTTTATATTATATTACAATACTGTAATCATTTTTACATGACTATTTTGGGTGTAGAATGAATCATCTGAGCTTCCATTATTTCTTATGGGGAAATTCGCTTTGTTATACAAGTGCTTTGGATTACAAGCATGTTTCCAGAACAAATGGTGCTCACAAACCAAGGTTTTACTGTATTTGATAAGTAAAGGGTCAAAATGTAGCAGGATGGTTTCATATCACTTTATCTGTTATACTTTATAATTCATGTAATTATAATGAACTAGAATAGTCTCCTCAGCCAGAGTACCTTCTCCCCTGATCAATTTCTTTGGAACACAGACATTCGTCAGTAACTACTTGCAAATACTCTTTTAATTACCCAAATCATTGGCATTATCATATCCAGTATTAAAGCTTATGTTTCATTAATTACACTTTAAATTGGCAATTTCCTAACTGAATTAGAAGTTAGTATAACCCTATTAGCATTATATTTACAAGTCATATTTTAATGAGGTATCCTTACGGGAAGACAGTTTCATATGGATATTCTCATGCATTACAGAAATATTGATATCTTTTAATCAAAGGTTAAATAAAAAGGTGATTTGAAAACATGAGGCATTGTCTAAATGCAATATGCCATTTATTGATTCCTGATTCCATAATCTAAGAATCTTGTATTTATTGGAAAGATCATTTCTTTTTTTCTGATTAGTCTATTTTTATTCTCTGCATTAAATATCACCATGAAATTGATGATAAATAT